GAGGTTATAATAAAAAATGCAAATATAAGTTTTACTTAATCCCTAAAGCCCCCTCAGCCCCCCCCCTTATCTCTCTTAAAGATTGTAACTTTGCATCTTTACATATTTATTTGGGGTTGTTAAGAGAGGTCATTAATGTATTTATTGATTGTATATTATTTTGTTTGAATCATTAATAAATAATAATAGTTTGCTTTAATTGCAACGCAAGTCTTAAAATTAGTTTTAAAAAGATAAAAGACGTGTTGTTTCGTGTAAAGGTTTTATTTATGAATAGGTCTGTTGTAAATTATTTTAAAAAAGCCTAAATGCCAGACTGTACCAAAGAATGCATTTTCACGTATTCAAACATATGTATTTGTCCCAACACCAAAAGTTAAATTGAGAGTTGTGACTGACAGTTGCCACCTCTCCCTTACCCTAAGTACACAGTTCTAAGATTTACCCTCCCTTCCCTCTCAGTGATAAGATTTGCCCTCCCTACCTACTGAGTAATGAGATTTGCCCTCCCTTCCTCCTCAGTGATGAGATTTGCCCTCCCTACCTCCTCAGTGATGAGATTTGCCTTCCCTCCCTCCTCAGTAATGAGATTTGCCCTCCATCCCTCCTCAGTGATGAGATTTTCCCTCCCTCCCTCTCTCCTCGGTGATGAGATGTGCCCTCCCTCCCTTCTCAAAGATGATATTGGCACTCCATCCCTCATCCCTCCCCGTTGATGATATTTGCCCTCCCTCCCTCCTCAGTGATGAGATGTGCCCTCCCTCCCTCCTCATTGATGAGTTTTGCGCTTCCCCCCTCCTCGTCCCTCCTCGTGGATGAGATGTGCCCTCCCACTCTACACAGTGATGGGGTTTGCCCTCCCTCCCTCCTCAGTAATGAGATGTGCCCTCCCAAAATCCACAGTGATAAGAGTCGTCTCCCCCCCACTTCCCTTTTCAGTGATAAGATGTGCCCTCCCACCCTCGGGAAAATCAGTAAAAATATCCCTTGCTGGGTTGAAGGGCGTCGAGTGGGTTCAGTTTTAACCAAATCATCTTTTCTATCTATCTATCTATCTATCTATCTATCTATCTATCTATCTATCTATCTATCTATCTATCTATCTATCTATCTATCTATCTATCTATCTATCTATCTATCTATCTATCTATCTATCTATCTATCTATCTATCTATCTATCTATCTATCTATCTATCTATCTATCTATCTATCTATCTATCTATCTATCTATCTATCTATCTATCTATCTATCTATCTATCTATCTATCTATCTATCTATCTATCTTTCTAGCCTAGTCTTGTAAAACACGAACATCTTTGATCTTTGTCAGCGGGTTATTTTTTTCATTTTCTTCTGCACACGTCATCTTCATGTCAACTCTTATACCTTCAGGTATATTCTTGTTTTTACTTCAAATTCTCTTTTATTGAATTTTCTCATCTTAATATTATCCTCAATTGAAATTCAGATTTTTTTCTTAAATCTTCATTTAATCTCACAACTTAATTTTCTTGACTCCTAATTTCTTATTTTCTCCTCTCATTATCATTTTCTCCTCTCATTCTCATTTTCTCCTTGCATCTTCATTTTCTCCTCTCATCCCGATTTTCTCCTTGCATCTTCATTTTCTCCTTGCATCTTCATTTTCTCCTTGCATCTTCATTTTCTCCTCTCATCCCGATTTTCTCCTTGCATCTTCATTTTCTCCTTGCATCTTTATTTTCTCCTTGCATCCTCATTTTCTCCTCTCATCCTCGTTTTCTCCTCACATCCTCATGTTCTCCTTTTACCCTCATTTTCTCCTCTTTTCCTTATTTTCTCCTCTTATCCTCATTTTTTTCTTTCATCCGCATTTTCTTCTCTCATCCTCGTTTTCTTCTCTCATCCTCGTTTTCTCCTCCCATCCTCATTTTCTACTCTCATTCTCATTTTCTCCTCTTATTCTCAATTTCTCCTTTTACCCTCATTTTCTCCTCTTATCCTTATTTTCTCCTCTCATCCTCATTTTCTCCTCTCATCCTCGTTTTCTCCTCCCATCCTCATTTTCTACTCTCATTCTCATTTTCTTCTCTCATTCTCATTTTCTCCTCTTATCCACATTTTCTCCTCTTATCCTTATTTTCTCCTCTCATCCTCATTTTCTTCTTTCATCCTCATTTTCTTCTCTCATCATCGTTTTTTCCTCTCATCATCATTTTCTCCTCTCATCCTTATCATTCTCATTTTCGTCTGTCTGTAATAAATATCGTGTAAACATGATATTCTGTAAGCCTGCAGTACGTTGTACATTATTAATAATTTATGTAGTAGACAAAATGACTTTAGGCATTGAAACTAACTGTGTTTCAATTGAAAACGTAGCATGATTAGATTAAAATCATGTGATATACTTAAATTACAATATAAACATTTGTGGAAATAGCTTAACTACGTTATATCTATTCTAGCTAATCTTATAAATACGTACATTAAACTTTAACTGTGCGGTAAATACGTAATATGATTGTCTTAACCATGTGATATAGATAACGACGTAGGAATTGTTATTATGTTAATATTTGAATAAAGCTACTTTATAGAGTAACTCAGCTCCGTACTGTTTACTGCGAGAGAGTAATCCTGAAATCCTGTTTTGATAAAAACAGGTCGGATCGTCCCCATCATTAAGGATCATTAAATTGCTTATGTGATAGCTATAGGCTTGTGTCCCTATGTGTCATTTAGAGCGGATCGTCCCCATCATTTGGGATTGATATATAGCTTGTTTGATAGCTAGGCTTGTGTCCCTGTGTGGCATTTAGAGCATTGGATCGTCCCAACATTTGGGATCGATATATGTCTTGTTGGAAAGCTAGGCTTGTGTCCCTGTATGGCATTTAAGAACACTGAATTAATAGCTCTAAATGCCACATAGGGACACAAGCGTAACTATCCAACAAGCTATTATTAATAGCTCGTTGGATAGCTACGCTTGTGTCCCTATGTGGCATTTATAGCCTGGATTAATAGCTTGGTTTGATGGCTACAGAGATCAAGCCCAGTGATAGTGGCGTTGATAGTTAGCGGGAATTGTAACCGTGTGGATCGTGTCCTGGTTGACTTTGATAGCGGATGGGTTGGGCCTGGATAGATACGTTTCGAGAACTTGTTATGGTGTAGGTGTTCACAACATGTCATCATGCAAAATATTATGTTATGTCAGGATAAATGTAAAATCTACATGAAGGGTTAACAGATGTATTTTTATCCTCCATGTTTTCTCTGGGGGTTGCCCATAAAGCCCCAAGATCCTTGATCAAACATCAAGGATGTAATTAGATGTTGAAATAATGGTTGTTTGGTTGTATTGTATATGGATATTAGATAGCAGTATAACAGCAGGGGGGGATACTAGACTCATCCCTACAAATAGGTAGATAGATAGATAGATAGATAGATAAATATAAAGATAGATAGATAGATAGATAGATAGATAGATAGATAGATAGATATAGATAGATAGATAGATAGATTTTCTATAAAAAAATATGAAGAACCAAGGCAATTACAGGAACCGTTTCATCCATAATCATTATATTTGAAAGTTAAACATTTTTTTTACAGAATTTGATATTTCAATGGATCAAAGAGTCGGACATTTCAGAATATATTTGATAACAAAACAATTAATAAAATCCGGGAAGAATCGAATAAAAAAGACTAAAATGTAAAAGAAAACACGAAAAAGAGAGATTATCGAGCATGAGAAAAAAGAATATAATAAAAAAGAAATTGAAGAGAAGAAAAAATAATGTTTAGGCGAAAAAAGAGTGATTTTACTCTGTTGCTGACTGAAATGTTGTGCTCAATATTTAATGAATTCTTGATGGACGACTGGCCAACAATGCATTCTTAAATGTTGATTTTACAGACAAATATCAGGAGGGTTGTTTACACCTCAAATATCAAGATAAAAAAGTTTATGAAAAACCTTTTTTAAAATAAACCCATAATTGTTTAATGCCTAGTTTTGGCTTTATCGGTATATACATGAGTCTAAACCAAGCCTTCTCACTGTAGGCCAGTAAAAAGGCCAAGCCCATTTTTGCATCACAATCGTTTAGATTATTCTTGTAAAAAAACTTGAGATATACAAGACGCGTAATATCCTTTGCCTGTATTCAAATATTTTAAGCATGTATGCATATCTTAGCAATAAGACAAGGGGGAGGGATAATGAAGGGGGGGGGGAAGCGTGAGAAAAGGATGGGGTATAGGGGAAGAGGGAAGGAGGGGAAAAGGAGGAAGGGGAAAGGGGGGGGGAGAAAAGAGGTAAGAAAGGAAAATTGAAATGAAGGATGAAGGGGATAAGAAGAAGGGAGAGAAGAAGGGAGAGAAGAAGGGAGAGAAGTAGCTAGAGAAAGAACAAAGGAGAGAAGGAGAAAAAGCAAAAGTAGGAGAGGAAAATAAGAAGAAAAGAAGTATGGAGAGAAAGAGGGGAATAGACAAAAAAAAAGAGGAGAAGAAGACTAAGGAGAAAAGGCGAAAGAAGGATAATTTTCTCCTCAGCTGAATTAGGAAGGGAAAANTATTTGTTGTCTTTAACAATTTTCTCTTTATAGACGCAACAGATAGAAGTAAGATCAGAAGCGATCAAAAGCGCTTTTTTATCGCATTAAGCCTATACCCCCTTTTATTTTTCGCGAACACTCCCTTTAACAAATAAAATTTAAACTAGTTGAATAACGATAATATTTCGTTTGCTTCAAAACAGAGATCAGATCGTTTAAAAATTAAATAATTAAACACTTACATATTTTAAATAAAGGGGTCCCCAAAATAAAGTGAAAGACGTAATCAAACCAAAATTAGTTTCTTATTTCTTTATCCTGTAACTAAACTAAGAAGTTGAAAAACAATATAAATAGTGTTGGTCTAAAAATGGGCATTGTTGTAACCACTGTGTTTTCTATTTATAAAGTACGATATAAACAAAATTTAGCTTAATTTGTACAGGCACTGGCTATTAGAATCATTTATTTAAAAGTACTAGTATATAGCTTAGTATTATCAACTGCAGAAAGCTACACATTTAAGAACAAGGAACCCTTATTTAGGTTCACATAGGGTTGCAGTTCAAATTCCTAAAAAGTTTATTAACTATTATTCCAATATTGCAGTACAGATAGATCATCATTTTTAATGTTTTGAGTTGAATTGGAGTTGAAAGGGACATTGAATAGATCTTCAATTTCATCTTATTATCAGAGTTATTTGATTTGGCTTTATCTTTAGACTAGACTCACATTTCGTGTACGATTGTACCGCATGGATGCAGTAGTACTAGGTGCCGTAGTTTGAACAGCTGTACTGTACCGTACAGGTTCTCCCTCAGGTTCAGTACTGCCCATACTGCGGAAGAGATTTGATCCGACAGAGATGACAGATTCTGAGAGATTTGAACTAGCGGCACTATGTCGATCATGGCTTGGATCCTCAGGTTCAAGCCTGTATTTACCGGATCTTATTGATCCTTCCCGAGTTGTAAAGACTCCATGGATGGGAGTACCGTTGTTGTTCCGACTAAATCCCAAATTTGTGATCCCCGGATCATGTCTCGAGGATTCAGGGAATTCCTCTGGATATCCAATATACTCCTCCCTAATGGTCTCCATAGGACTGTGGATAGCGCTGTAGGAAAGATTAAGCGCTCGCTGTTCATGCTCTGTGAGTAGCTGTGTAGCTGACCAGTAGGTGGGGGTGGAGTCAGGGAGGGTGCTGGGTGGAGCCTGAAATAAAGGGAGGGTCCCAGCTACTGTTGTAATGTCTGGCATCAACCTATGACTGCTGGTGTTTTTAGAATCAGTGCTACAGTTGCTGTCAGTGCCATCATCCCTGCCATGCACTGGGATAACAATGGGTTTCTTTGGTTTGGCAAATTTCAAAAAGTAGATAATTCCCGCAAGAAGGAAAAGTCCAAGAAGAAGAATAGCTCCGCATAATGCTCCAATCATGGTCCAATCACTGTCTGTTTCTTCTAAAGACATCTCAACAGACCTGTCTTCAACTGTCTTACTGGAATCTGCAATGATGGTTGGCATGATTACAGGAATAATATTAGACATCTTCCCGGTATTATTTGCAGCATCTATCCCAACTATACCAATATAATACTGCTCTTCAACGTAGCTAAATTTAAACTGGAAGCTGGTGTGAACCCCAGCTGTATCTGACCTATCAAGCTCCAGTAGGATTGGAGCATCTTGAGTTGGATCTAAAAGTTCACTGATAGAGTTTGAGAAGAAGAATATGTAGCCCTGGACTATTCCAGAATCATAATTATCTCCAGGAGCTGTCCAGGTGGCTAGAAGGCTCATGGATGCGGGAAGAACATCAATTTGAAGATCTCCAACTTTTCCAGGAGGCATTCTATCAATGTCATCGGAAGTTGGAACCTGCAGCAAATTTAGGCCAGGAATATTAAACATTCGACTGAATACTCCCATTGATTTAAGCTCTTCATTTGAAAACTTCAAGAAGCTTCCAGAAGATCTTTCAGTAACATTCAATGCCTTTGTCACATAAACAGCTTCTCCGCTGTTATCAGAGACCGTAACGGTAAATATGTATCGACCAATGGCTGGATACTCGGTCATATACCGAGAATATATGCCATCACTACCTTGGATATCGGGATCTCCGTTTCCATTATCGAATAAATTAAATGGTGGCATTTTTAACTCTGTGGAGTTTTCTGTTAGAACAGTGACAGAAATGACCACTTGGGCGTTCAGCACGGGGGCAAGATCCCGGTTGACCGCCACATAGAGAGCTAGCGGGTGCTGAGAGGTCACAAAGTCAGATGAACTATCTGAACTGGACCAGAACTTAATGTTTATGCTTCTCTCCTGTTTTGGGGCTGATATAATGAGTCCAGCCTGTAGAATTGCTGAGCTGGTCGGCACATGCCAGGCTATCTTGTACCTCCACTGTGTCCCCTGTAACAGATTGATTAATTGATTGATGATCAGATGGAAAATGAATCGGCACTTGATCCCATCCAATAACAGTTATATCTCAATAAAACTTAAACTTAGATGAAATTCGATCCACCAAAAACAAACGGTTCCTTCTTGATCAGATATATACAGAAATCTATTTGATTACAGATTTAAACATAAATATTTACCGTCTGAAAGGGTGGGGGAGCTTCCAGGCCAAAATTTACAACTTTAATGTTGATGTTGTCATAGGTTGTAGCAATCCTTTGATAGGGACCCCACTCAGTACCATCCTCCGAAATAAAACTCACACTTCTGAAATATTAAAAATAATTTTTTTTTTGAGAATAAAATAATCTTGAAAAAAATTTGGAATTTTTGTCAGAAACCTCACATTTTCTTATTCCTACTATTGCAACCTGGTGGTATATATCTTTGATAGTTCAAACTTGATTACTTAAAAGAACAGAATTCACATTTTGAAATATCAAAGGTCTGTTGCAAAGATATTTGGATTAGAAACTTTAAGTTTGTGGCAAGAACTCAGTTCCAATTTATACAGGGTTACCCACAAAGAATAAGACCATAAGTCGTCTCTGCAGGCTCATTCTTTCTGGGTAACCCTATACATGCAGTAGACAGGGTGGGTTACTTAACTTATATAAAACATCCTAACATGTTGCATGTAATATTGAACTTACTAAAAGTATTTAGAAAAACGAAATTACAAATTTACGAATACAATTTTAGAAATACTTTCGATAGTTTGATATATGTAACAACATGTTATACAGGGTTACCCTCAATAGATAAGACGTTAAAGACGACCTGAAACTCTTTAAATTTGACAACTCCGGGATTAAACTAAGTTTCCTACCTTGAATATAATCTTTTTATGGATTACTTAATGATTAGGCAAAGAAAGAAACATGTTTGTACCTCACGGACAGCCGTAGTACATTTGAATTTCCGAGCCGGGTCAACCTTGTCCTTTCCGTTCCCAGTTTGTACTGTACCTAGCTCTATGGAAAGGACTAGCCGGTGCAACAAGGTTGACGCGGTCAGACTTTATGCTTCATATTGGTTAAATTTACGTTTACTAAAGGGGCAGAGGTGCGTGAATTGCAGGAGATAGCAGACAGTATAAATTCTGTCCTTTGTGTAATCCTGTAGTGATACAAACAATGTAATTTGAATTAAAATAAGGTTAGAAAATGACCTAATA